ACTGCCAGACGCCTCCAGCCACAGACACAGTAGGGCTTTCCTGATCTGGCCCCCTTGCTGGAGCTCTCCCACCCCCCAGCCTGGCTGCTTCCTGTGTGGTCGCTGTCCTCAGGGTAACTAGCAGGCCCTGAGGCTTTTGTGGGTCTGGGACTTTTTCGGAAGCTGACACCAGTGCTCAGAGAAAAGCTCCTACGCTCGCATCCAGGACGCAGCCTCCCGTGTGGGGGGCCTATCCACCCCGGGACGCCTCCTAGCCACAGACACTCCAGATGTCCTAACCCAAAGGGAAGACTCCGACAGGCTCTCATGGGGGTTACGCCAGGGTTGGAGGCAGGTTACGGGAAGGGGTCACGGACTCAGATGCACGTAGCACAATGGGTGAAGAAGGCCAAGTGTTTGGCCCTAAGCGACCATCGTCTCCTACCCTCCACGTTGGGAAGACACAAATGAGGTTGGGGACCCAGGGAATTGGAGCCCATAGCCTTAATGACTGGGAATTTGGTGAAGAGTTGCCTGGTAGGCCTTCATTTTTTATTTGTTATCAAGACAGACCATGGATTTAAACAATGTTGATAACAAAATCAAATTTCAAACACCAGGAGGAGAGGCAAAGTGCATCTGAGTGTCAGCTTTGAGCTCTATTTAACTGCAGTGTGAGGCCAGTTCCCACAAGCTAAAGGTTGGACCTAATATGTTTTTCGGAGTTGACTTTCTCTCAAGGTCATACAAGGAAGGTCCCGGACCATCTGATGTCTCTGAACAATGCCCTGGGGAGCTGCTTTGATGATCAGAAATAACCTCCCCCACACTGGCGAGACTACTGTAAGGCCACGAATTGCAAACCACGCTGGAGGCAAGGGGCGAGCTATGGTTTTCTGGAGCTGTTCTTGCCTTCACCCCAAACATCTCATCAGCACGACACTCGGCTCCCACGAAGGGGCCCGTGCCCGAGTGTGTGTTTCAGACATGGAGAACATCAATGCCTGCTTAGCTCTGTGGGGCACTGCATCGGTCACCTTATTTGCTTTAGGAGCGATAGGTTTTGGCAACAGAAGGCAAGAGTGGATACAGCCTTTGCTACTTACTAGCCTCAGTCTCTCCACATGTAAATGGGAATCAAATAGGTTCCCCCAGCTCGTGGGGGCTGCAGGGAAGACGAGGACGATGGAGAGGGTAGAGTGGCTCCAGGGAAGAGGCTACTGGTTCTCCCACTCCTTTTCCTGGACTCTGGCAGAACCTCCGGCACGTCAGTGGCTACGGAAGCATCAGCAGAGCCAGTGGTAATGGCTCAGGGTTCCTGAGCACACACACAACAAGCCACGTGTGGGTCCTTCTGATCTGGGTGGTCTCACTTAGTACCCACAGTACTCCATTGTACAGATGGGGAAATTGAGGCCAGCAGGTCACTTGGTTGGTGGCAGAAGAATGAATCGAGGCAGGCTGCTGCTGGGGCCCCTGTGATGAACACTGAACTTGACCGTAAATGTGGTCCTAGACAAAACCTTTAGTCTAGTGCATTTGGAACCAGTGAAAAGTCAAATTCGGTGGAGGTGGGTGAACGGGATTTTTCCTGCGGACTCTGATGAGGCGGAAACCTGTGTCTTCCTTCACCTTGGTTTCTTGCCCATCATCTCATCTCCCTGCAATGCCTGGTTGGGAAGGAACTTGGTGGGTCTCAGATTCTACCTAAAACAAAGGTTCAGACATCTGCCCTGCTTCCCCATCTCTGGCTCCCCCGGCCAGTATGGCCCCTTCCAGGTTCAGGCTCTCAAGAGCAAAATCTGCCCACTGATCTCCACAGTCCTCTGGGTGGCTTCCGGGTCCAAGGGAATATGCAAGTCGCTTGCCCTTGGCTCCAGCTTCTGTCCCTCTGAGTAACTCTGCCCTGGGCCATGTTCCCCAAGACAGAGCAGCGTATAGAGTCCTGGGAGGATTTCATTCTGTGCACCCTGCCGGCTGAGTTACCGGCGGATCAACTCGGTGATGGAGAGAGGCCACTATGCATGTGCACGTGTTATATTTCCTTCCAATGCGTCTATCCTGGGATCCCCGCAAAGCAGAGGAGTCAGGCCTGCTGCTCAGAGGCAGACAGATAGGAGAGAATGTGGTTTTCGGTTGGATGCAAGGAGCTGGAGGACGTGCACCGGCTGCGCGGAGGCTGGGGACAGCTGCCTATTAAACGCGCTTTCGTTTTAATCAAGGTGAGAGCAGTCTATAGTTAGCAGGAATCACTCTCAATAGTATAGTTAGATTATAACTGGCAGACCTCTGCACTGGAGCCGCTGACCCATTTTAATGAAATGATTTTGCAATTAGATTCGATGGACTAATGTGTTCTTTCCAGCATTTTTCCCCCTGCTGTTTTTGTTATTGCCCTGGTTTGCAGTAACAAGGAGGTCAGAGTGATATTTTATATGAGTGGGAGCCAGAAATGTTAATAACGGCGTATGTACATAACCGAAAAAGTTTCTTCCCCAGTCGGAGCGAGCCCAAAATGCCACCCCCGTCACTTCATATTTCATTACTGAAACTACCCAGGGTTTCTCACGGCCATTTGTTATGCCTAATGCTCATAACTACCCAAAAGTATTTTTAACTTTTCCAGAGCTTTAAAAGTCAATTTCAATCTCAATGCATATTTGTCACTGCCAGAAATACTTAGCATGAGAGGATCAACCGAAATAGGCCGCTGCTGCTTCTCTCTGGGTGAGTTCAGACAGGAGAGATCTCGGAGGATTTGAAGGAGGGCTACAAAACTCAACCCTGGCCCTAAGGAGACTTGAAGGCACTGATGTCATCTGGCATTTTGCCTGTTCCTGCCCCGTGGGCTCCTCCCCTGCCACGGGCAGCTCAGAACAAGGACACTGACGACCAGATCACAGGCAGCTTTAATAGCTGGATCACGCTGGGGGTGACAGGAGGAAATTCACAGCAGCCTGGTTGTGTGATAAGTCCCTGCCCTAGGGCTACTCTCCAGAAGGAAGGGATATAAGGTGTGAAATGTCTGGGGGGGGGGGGCAGCCAGGGAGAAAAAGCTCCCATTCTTTGGTTGGACTTGGCTGGGAGGGGGCAGCTCCGGCCCAGGATGGGGGCTGCCATGGGCAGTCTGTGTCAGATGCCATTCTTGGGGCAACCAGTGTGTTGACCAGAAGTCACACATGCATTGTTAACTGATCCCCATGGACCTGAAACTCATGTGTCCAGAGCTCTCCTACCTCTCCCCCCTCCCCCACCCGCCTGACATCCCAGAAAGGAGGAAAGGAGCAGAGTGAGGAACTGGGGCGAGAATTAAGCCAGCTGGGGCTCATCAGCTTGAAAAGAAAGTAGTGGGGACAAGCGAAGGGTTGTGAGTGATGAAGGGAATCAAGAAAACATTGCCAAGCACACAAACACCCACTCGGGCAAGGCTGGGAGACCAGCCCCAGGCGCTGGAAAACACTAAGAGTTTAGCAGGAGTTTGGTGACTGGTGGAGCAGGGAGCTGTCCTAGGAAGCCCCCCCATTTGGGGGCCCCCTTATGAGTGTGACCACCTGCCTGAAACCAGAGGGAAATGCCATGGCTTGTGGCTTGGCACTGCCTGGTCTCAACCCCACTGCAGAATGGCCAGGGAGGCCCTAGCAGGAGAGCATCACTCCCAGAGGCATGGCCCCTGGCACGCTCCCATCTGCACGCAGGGAAAGGGAAGGATTCCAGGGTTGAGGGTTTGCCCTGTGTCCAGTGAGATCTTGGCATCCTCATCCTGGAGAGGAAGAGCCACTTGAACAATGTTTTCTGTCTTCCCACTCAAGTTATTTCTATTAACAGATATAAAAGATCAAAAGGGAGTGTTAAGGTTTCAACTCTCAATTCAAGTCAAGGTTTTAAAATGTTTCTAGTTCGAGGCAATGACATTGTCCACAACTGGGAAGGCTGAATGGTACAGCTTATAAAGCACAGTCATTCCAGAGTCACGTGCCCCTGGGCGTGTTAGTTAACCTCTCTGTTGCCTCAATATCCTCATCTGTGTAATGGGACTCCAGAGTGCTGTGAAAAGTAAACAAAGAAAGGATACAAAACAGGTGCCTGGCCTGGAGCAAGCATTCAGTATATGTTTAAAAAATATTGAGAGGTAAACAGGACTCCCCATTACTGAGCCACGGTTGGGCCCTGGCTGCAAGGGCTATCCTGAGACAGAGGAGATAATAAGAGTCACACATCATCAGTTCCACTTTGGCTCACTCTCATAGAACACAGATTCTCAGACAGGAACCAACGCAATCTTCAGATTACAGTGGGGATAGTGTTGATCAAGAAAGAAGCAAAATAGAAGGCAACGAGATCCCTTTCTTTATTGTCAGAGACAGCATGTTTCTGCACAGTCCCCGCCCCGCACCTGCATGTTAACTGTGATCAAAGGTCAAGGAAACAGACTGGACCGTGGGTCTCAGGGGGTCAGGGTCAGGTTCAGAAGGAGCCTCGGCTTAAATCCGCAGTCTCAGACTCGTGTCAGTTTCACCCATCCTCATGCTCACACTCATTTTAAGTGAGTGAATACCAGCAAAGTTGGTGGCAGGGGCCGTAAGCAATATGAATTCCCCTTTGGGTCAGCTGCCACTTCGGAGAATGACCTTGGGCAGGGACCCTCCCAAGAAGCAATGGGCCAAACGCCTAGGGTGCACCTTGTCCCCTTTGAATGGAAGAAAATACGACTGTGATTTCTGAGCTCGGACCTTGCTGTTGCTCGTTGGTTAGCATCCAGACTAGATCTGGGGTATGGGACTCCATCCTGGGTAGGAGATGTGGATACAGAGCTTAGGCTGGCCCCAGAGTGCTTCTCCATACCCATTTCAACGTGCGTACAGATCCTCCGAGGCTCCCTCCCTCCTGCCCTCTGTGAGTTGAGACTGGGAGAGGTGGGTCTGGCAGGTGGTGGGCTGCGGTGCTCCAGAGCAGAGAGGTGTCCAGCGGTGGTAGCTGTGGCGGCGGTGGCGGGCCATGCTGCAGGAGAGCACGGTGCTTTCCGCGGTGCTTGACAGAACCATGTTCCGTTTCCATCGTTCCACCACATGGTTAGATCAAGCACAAAGGAAAGCCCCGCGGCGACTGGTCAGAGTCAAGGTCAGGAAGCAGCGTCAGAGAGAGGACAGGAGCACTCAGAGGAAGCAGCGTGGAGAAGCGGAAGCCGGAGCAGGCCCCCACTGAGTGTGATTAGTACCAGGAGTGGGGTTCCACTGGCACGCTTCCGAAGACAGGAGCCCCACCACCCTTGAGCCCCAGCCCAGGGGAGACGCAGTAGGAAGGGAGAACAGGTGGAGACCATTGGATACCCATCCTTGGGAGCATCAGGGCAGACTGGGTCCTTCCCAGGTGACTTAAATAAGCCTTAGACATCTGTGGTCACATGACAGGCCTGAACAGACAGAATCTCAATGCTCCATTCTATGACACCATTTAATCTGAGAAGACATCAGACTCGGCAAAACATCTTTTGCATGCTTTGCAACCTACGGCTGATTCCAGTGCTGACTGGTTCCCTTATACTCTGTTCCTCCTGTGTCTTAAGGAGAGACAACCCACGTTGCCCAGTGGTCTACCAATGCCACCATGCTCCTCTTTAGGAGAAAGCCCCTTTTGGCGACCTACAATTTGGGAGTTTTATATATATCCCCCAAGGTCCTCAGAAACCCTCTGATGACCACCACTATGCCCTGATCATTTGTGGTACAGCAGAGGAAGAGGGCAGCATCAACACAACTACTTTCTGGACTGTCTGGCTGCCCAGGTGTGAGGGTAGCCAGCTTTTCTGTCCCTACCTACAATAGAGCAAGGGAAGTGCCCATGCACCTGCAACCTTGGGACTTCCTGTCACTTGGCACTGGGCTAAGGTGTATATCCCTTGAAGGGACTGGAGCCAGAGTCAGGAGACTAAGACTTTCCCTGCCTCAGCCCTGGCAATGTGTTTTGGGGACCGGATTCCCTGCCAAGATGACCCAAGACCTCAAGCGTGCACGGGTTGTCAGCTGTGAGGGACCATTTAAGAGTCCCTCCATGCCTCCGGATCTGGTCGTCCACCTTCTTAAGACCTCCCACCTCCCTGACCAGAGCCAGCCACTGTGATCTGGAGTCAACTCCATGTTGACACCCACTGAGGGCTGTGGGAACACTCTAGTTCTGGGAGTTTTGTAGTCACGTTTGATCAGGATCTCAGGACCAGAATAAGAACAATGCATCCATTTCCTGCACCAATCTCCTCACCCCAATCTTTTTTTTGACAAGCAGAGTGGACAGTGAGAGAGAGAGAGAGAAAGGTCTTCCTTTTCCGTTGGTTCACCCTCCAATGGCCGCCACGGCCGGCGCACTGTGGCCAGTGCACCCTGCTGATCCAAACCCAGGAGCCAGGTGCTTCTCCTGGTCTCCCATGCGGGTGCAGGGCCCAAGGACTTGGGCCATCCTCCACTGCACTCCCGGGCTCTTTCTCTTTGGTTTTCCTCTACAAAAGGACATGGAGGGACTTGGTATCAAGCATCCTGGGGCTGCTGTGGTGGTGCAGTGGGTTAAGCTGCTGCTTGCAGTGCCCACATACCACATGAGCACCGGTTTGAGTCCCAGCTGCTCCACTTCTGATCCAGCTCCCTGCTAATGCACCTGGGAAAACAGCGGAAGCCGGCCCTAGTGCTTGTGCCCCTCCCACCCACCTGGGAGACCCAGATGGAGATCCAGGCTCCTGGCTTTGGCTTGCCCAGCCCTGGCCATTGCAACCATTTGGGGAGTGAACCAGAGGATGGAATCTCTCTAACTCTGCCTTTCAAATAAATATATAAATCTTAAATAATAATAAAAAAAAGAATCTTTACACCATGTCCCAAATCCAAGATTTTAGATCTTGCCCTCAAAATCACATTTTATACCTTGGATATGACTTCACCACTGGGTGCCCCTCAGTTTCTTTATCCCTAGAATGGACTGAATAATTTCTGGTGGCTCAGAGTCTGCAGCTCCCTGAGAGACGCCTTGCTGTTTGCCATTTTAGGGAACACTGCGTCACCACCCTCTGTACTTTCCAGCATATGAGTTGCTTCTCACACAAAGTGGGAGGCGTGAGGAAGACACACGGCCTCCTGCCCTGTCAAGCGCTCCCTGGGGATGAGCCCGGGGTCCCAGGCAGCCAGATGGTGCCTTTCCAGGAGGACGCAATTTGACGGTCAGATCACCCGAACCCACAGCACCCACCCCTACACTGATCTTTCTGCCCAGGGCGGCGGATGCAGCTGACAGAGAGAGGAAGACACAAAGCAGCTGGGAGAGCAGACGCCCTGCCTAAGGAGAGGCTTTGCAAGGTGCAGGAGCAGCCCTCAAATTGGCTCCTAATTACATCAGCTGTCTTTTCAATGGGGGTGCTTTTAGGGGAGAGTCGAGCGCAGAGCTATTATCTGTCAGATCCAGTGTGTGTCACCTGCCCCCCCTTTCTCCTGGAGCTTCCTGGAAATGCACAGCTTCCAATCTTTGGCTTCTGTATCCCCTCAAGGTCTGGGCCGGTGTTTCTCCAAGCTGAGGCCCCTGGAGCTCAGCAGTTCTTGCTGTCTCCTGTCTCTTTTCTCTGCAGCTACACAACAGGACAGCCTGGAGAACACTGTACACCAGGCTCATTTCAGCTCTAAATGTCTCCACCTTGGAGGAATAGGCATTCTGATAAGGTATCTACCTTACAGAAACATGGTATTCTAGACAGGGTCAATCTAAAAACCCTACTACCTCTAATTTCTGTTTCTTTTCTTTTTTCTTGTTTAACTTGCAACCACTTCCATCCCACTTTTAACAAAAAGCAGCCAGGACTCCGCAAATGCAAAGTAGGTAGATAAATAGTAGATAAGCAGGTGGATGGGCGGTCGGTAGGAAGGCACAGGGCTGGAGTGAGAACTAAGCTCTACTGTTCTCTGTACACTTTCTATTTTCTCTTTCTCCTACTTAGATCTTTCTGCACCTGCCACATCCACTTGGCCACACAGCCTCTTGGCCCAGCCCACAGCGATTCTTAAGCCGCCGCCAAAATGGTGTTCCTGGGACATACCAGTCCCTAGACCCTGGGCTGAGTCTCTCCGCCCTGCCACCTGGGGCCTTTGTATCAATCTGGGGCCCCAGACACTGACAAGACAGTCATGGGAGAACAGGGCTGGGGGTAATGCAGCGTGTCCGGCTCTCCTCTGACCCTCACTGCCCTCTTTGGGGATACCACTGATCGGCGGCTGAGTTAGTTCTGCCCAGGACAGAAAGGGATGGCAGGAGAAGGAGGGAGGCTTATGACAGCCGCGAGAGGCCCAGCTGAACCTCAGGTGACAGCTCCAGACGGGGAGGAGACCTGCTTCCCAGAGATGCTGCCAGGTTTAGGAAGGAAATAAGGAAAGCGTGTGCGGCTGCAGGTGGACCTCCTTCTCTACTGGTTGCTGCACTGTGTCGCTGAGGGAGGGCTGGGTCCTGCCGCCCGTTTGCGGGCTTGTGACCTTGGGGTGACCTTCACCTCTGCACCCTTGGCTCTCTCTGCTGTAGAATGGGGGATGTCTGCTGCTGACCCCACAGGACTCCTGGAAGCAGCAGCTCAAACCAAAAGCGTTTAGCATAGCAATCATAGGTGAGAAAGAACTCTCATGGCTGACATTTAGGGAAGACAAATCGGGACCAGAAGATCACGCCAGGAGCAGAGGTCTGCTGGTAGTCTTCCCCAGTGACCGATCCCCTTGTCAGCCCTCTCCCCAGGAAACTTTACTGGCTTCAGACGCTCTGGGGTAGGTGCAGAAGCCTCGTTTTTGCTGAGACGCAGAACGTGAGGGTTGCCTCCAACCCGTCTCAGTCTTTCATGCTGCCCATCTCTTGTTACTGGGGGCACCTTGTGACTTGATGTTTTCAAGCAGAAAGGGACACAAACGACAGTGATTTGTAACTGCCTGTTCGGGTAGCTGGTAGGTCAAGGAGAATTGCTTCTTTGTCCAGGATGAGCTGAGAATTCCACTGCCACCCCACCTCCACGCCCTGTCCTTCCTGGGTGCAGGGGGGAGGGAAGGCCCTAGACAGAGTGTGGGGGTACCAGAACAAGGCTTTGTGTCTCCCCAGGCTCAACTCTTGGCTGTTTTCTCCGTCACCAGTGTGCAGCATGCTGGGGTAGAGAAGAGAGCTGGCCACAGTGGTGGGGAATCCCGTAACACCACATGGCTAAACAGCTGCACTGAAGTGTGTCTCAGAGGGGAGTGTGGTGGGGCCCCCAAGATGGCACGCTGCCTGCAGACTGGCGTGGCTACACTGATTTCTGTATCTGCCACTTGGAGATTATGCTTTGGAGACTAAAGAGGGATATTGTAGCCTCCGTGGGGCACAGGTGTGAAGACAGCCCCTCCCTGCTTCCATTTAGCTCTGGAGCCAGGCTGCTGCACGGGTAACCCACCACCCCCGCCCCCTCCCCCACGCTTTTATTGTGTGTGTTTTATTTTAAATCCATAAGGTAATTGGTTTTCTGCAGGGCTAACTGAATTTCCCCAATTTAATTTGCAAAGATGCTCCCCAGGAGCCATTGCAGCGCCTGCCGTCGTCCAGATTGGATTACGGGCCTCTCCGGGGCTGCTGTATTCTGAGTCAGAAAGTGGGGCCCAGCCCCCGTAACCTGATTACCTGAGCAGCGGAACTTCTTGCTCTTGATCTGGCTGATGCGCTTGTTGGCGAGCCGGCGCGGGCTGCTGCAGCGGGCCCCGCTCGTCTCGATGGGGTTGTCCTGGAGGTAGTCAGCCAGCCACTTCAAGTGACAGTCACACACGAAGGGGTTCTGGGCTAAGTGGCTGCAAGACGGATGGGGCTGTTCATGCGGGGTGCCCTGTGGTGGCTTGCTCCATCGCCGCCCTCTGCACCCTCCCCCCACCCGGAGGCTGGAGAGGTGCTACTTTCAGACGGGACTCCAAGAGGGCACCCAAGACAGTCACAGCTGCAGAAAGCATCTGGTGTGGGGAAGTCTGTCTCCCAGCTCTCTCCACTGGGGCCGGACCCACCACCGATTGCCTCGACTCTCACTCTGCCTGTTCTGATGGGCAAAGCACGGCTGGAGC